GGAAAACCACTCAATTAATTTCCAATGACAGTGGAAGTAGAATTAGTACTTTTAAAAATAAAGTTTGTGATACATGCCAAAGAGAAAAATAAACTAGAGAAACATTTCCTTTGAGTAATAATCAAGCTTTTAATATATTTGATTTGATGCACTGTGATTTATGGGGTCCATATAGAACTCGTTCATCTTGTGATGCTTCGTATTTTCTTACTATTATTGATGATTACTCACGTGCGGTGTGGATCTATTTGCTGGTTGATAAGAAAGAAGTAATGAGAATGTTGAAATTTTTCTTTTTCATGGTAGAAAGGGAATATAACAAAAGGGTTAAAATTATGAGAAGTGATAATGGAATGGAATTCATATGCATGAGAAATTATTTTCTAGATCATGGCATAATCTTTCAAACTTCATGTACAAGCACACCGCAGCAAAATGGGAGGGTCAAATGCAAACATCGACATATTCTCAATGTTGCACGAGTTTTGCAGTTTTTAGGTAATTTGCCTATTGATTTTTGGGGAAAGTGTGTGTTGACAGCAGGATATTTGATCAATCGCACTCTAAGTACAGTTCTGAAAAGCAAAACACCATATGAAGTATTACATGGACAAGAACCCTTCTACAATCACTTATGTGTATTTCGTTCTCTATGCTTCGCTTGCAACCAACACACCAATGGCGACAAATTTGCAAGTTGAAGTTGTAGATGTACCTTTATGGGATACCCCTATGGGCAAAAGGGTTGGAGAGTTTATGATCTCGAAACTCATGAATTCTTCGTTTCACGAAATGTGTAGTTTTTAGAAAATCAATTTCTATATCAGTGTTCCGAAAATGAGAAAGAATCCTCTCATTCCTTACCTATTGATAATATGGTAGACACTATTCTTGATGACATGGAATCACCAACAAATCTTGCTCTCAACAGAGGGGTACATGTACACGCACTGTAGCAATCACAGGTTCTGTGATGGAAATGCCAGACACCGCTAGGATTTTTTCAAAAACTTTATTTTAGACTTTCAACTGCAAACCCCAACAGAACACACCATAGACACCACAATGCCCAGTAATCCTGATGAAAATCCATTACTTGGACATGGACATCACGTAAAACAACTGTCTACAAGATTTCAGGGGTATGTAACACACATTGTGTTAGAAATAGTATAATTATATTTCAAAAGAATTTATTAATTATTTATTTTATTTTATTACTCTAATTTAATTATTATTATTAATCATATCTTCAGTTATATGTAACATTTACTTGAACAATTATAGTGATTAAGGTATTTAATCTTTTGAGAAAACCGCATGGAAGATGCACACACTTTTATTATATTTATTTCTGTGGGTTATGAGTTGAGGTAGCTTGCTAGTTCTTGAGAGCCTTGTACATTCAAACAAGAAGAGTTTGCTGTATCCTGGAGGATTTTTTACTACACCAAAATAATCCTTAAGGACAGTATTCTGCATGCCTCAGACTAAATTATTGATCAGCTACTTCGAGTCATTTTGACAACATATTGCAAGGAAGTTGAGTCATTTCCCTAGTTCATCAATTCCATCACATCCTTTAGATACTCCTTATCCTATTGCTCACTATGTAAACTGTGCCAAATTTTCTTTGCCACACAGACATTTTCTTGCAACAATTACTGTAGAAAAAGAACCCTTATACTTTCATGAGGCAGTGAAAGATGCAAGATGGAGACAAGCTATGCAAGCTGAGATAGATGCGTTGGAATGTAACAATACATGGAGCATGCAACCATTGCCTCCAGGGAAGAAAGCTCTCGGATGCAAGTGAGTGTATCACATTAAGTATAATTCTGATGGCATCATTGAGCGATTTAAAGCTCGTTTAGTTGTGCTCAGAAATCATCAAGAGGAAGGCATCAACTACACTGAAACATTTGCTCCCGTTGCAAAAATGGTAACAGTGCAAACTATTCTTGCAGTGGCAGCAGCCAAATCTTGGAAACTTCATCAAATGGACGTACACAATGTGTTTCTACATGGTGATCTCCATGACAAAGTGTTTATTCGCATGCCTCCTGGTTTTTATGTTTCAAGACCAAACATGGTGTGCAAACTCTGAAAATCGTTGTACGACTTAAAGCAAGTTTTGCATTGCTGGTTCACTAAATTGTCTTATGCACTTGTATCTTATGCATTTGAGCAATCATGTCTTTATTATTCTCTGTTCACGTTGCATCAAAAAGGGGGTTCAACTTGTTGTTCTTGTTTATGTCGACGATCTAAGTATTGCCGGCAATGTCTCCTTAGCCATCAAGCAATTTAAAGTCTACCTCAGCAAATGCTTCCACATGAAAGATCTTGGCACATTGAAGTATTTTTTGAGTATTGAGATTGCTCGCAATCCTATGGGCATTTTTCTCTGTCAACGTAAGTACACGCTCGATATTATTTCTGAAGCTAGGCTCCTCGGAGCTAAACCTACAGGCACCCTATTAGAACAAAATCACTGTTTATCTCTTGCTTCAAGAACTCTTCTTGCCAATCCAGAACGTTATCACCGATTGGTTGGGCGGTTAATTTATCTGTGTTTTACACGTCCAGAGCTCTCGTTCAGTGTTCACACGCTATCTCAGTTCATGCAGGAGCCACGAATTGAGCACTAGGAAGCTACCCTCCGAGTGGTTCAGTTTCTCAAAAGCAACCCTGGTCAAGGCATATTGCTTTCTGGCAACTGTGATCTACAGCTTCGTGGCTGGTGCGATTCCAACTGGGCTAGCTGTCCTCTTACACGTCGCTCCTTTACCGGTTGGCTGCTCCAGCTTGGTCGATCCCCTATCTCTTGGAAAACAAAGAAACAACATCGTTTCTCAGTCGTCAGCTGAAGCTGAGTATAGGTCCATGGCAACCATTACATGCGAACTCAAATAATTAAAAAGGATTCTTTCTGACCTCGGCATCACTCATACCAAACCTATGATCATTCATTGTGATAGTCAAGCGGCCTTACACATAACTAAAAATCCAGTGTTTCATAAATGTACTAAGCACATAGAAGTTGATTGTCATTTTGTTCGCAATAAAATCCTCCAACACAATATTCTTCCAACTTATGTGTCTACTACTGTTCAACTAGTAGATATTTTCACAAAAGCTTTGGGAAAACCACAGTTTGACTACTTCTTAGGCAAGTTGGGCATTCTGAATCTCTATGCTCCCACTTGAGGGGATAATTTCGTAATAAATTATTAACAAAGTTTATTATTATACAAAATTTAAATTCTAAAATTGTTATTTAAATAAACTAATTAGGAAGAGATTAGTTATCCATTTTTCTTATAAACAAATTTGTTTTTGTTAAAGTTGTTAGAGTTTAGGAGATATTTTAGATCAGTTTTGTGTATATAAATAATATATCATTGAGAAATAAAATCATCTGAATCCGTTCCTTTACATCTTCTGCCTGGCGTACAACCATGCAAGATATCAAGCTTGTCCGAAGAGAGAAAGAAAGGAAGGAATGAAAACAGGATGAAGACCAACTTACAATGTCTAAGAAGAAAAAAAAAGACTTGGGCCTCTGAGTAGCCCATCTCATTGAATCTGGGCCTAGAGTTTGAACCCGTAACGATGTTTCCCCAACTGTTCGTTCTATTTGCTCTAACACCAGCTTTTTAAGACAATTTTACAAATTATTTATCAAAATAATATAATGTAAAAATTAATTATTAAAATGGATAAATTCTATAATATTTGAATAGTATTTAGCAAAAGGAATAGAGGTTACGGAATGTGACACATCATATTCTGTTAAGTGACTCGTATTGAAAGGAATATTTAAAGTTTTATCTTACAAAATTACCCTTCATTAGCATTTCAACGAAAATTATGTTAATTTGGGGGATTTCATCTGGTCAGTTATTCTTCTTCACCGCTCGATTTTCGGAAGTTCTTATCTTTTTTCGATCACTCTGAAACTATTTGATTTTCGATAGCAAGAGGTTGATGGGTGAGGTATAGCCAACACCACCAAGCAAGACACTGTTGAGGCCCAAATCGGCCGCCACACACCATACTTGAACGCGCACCGAAGAAGACCTATTGAAACATCACCGTGAGACACCGCAAACCTCGCTACTACTAACTGTAGGCTAATCCAATTGGTGATGGGAACAGGAAGTAATTAATGCTGTCACTTTTGCCTCTCAATCATGGACCTTGATTTGATCGAAATCGTGCATGAGAGGGAGCTATGCTAAGGTGAGGTTGAAGGAGATACACAGAAGAAGTGCAAAGACGAGTGGTACGATTAATTTTAATATCGAGGATATTTTCGGAAATAAAAATATAAAAAAATAAAAATAAATGGTTTATAAAGTATAAGAGAGAGAGGTGCTAATAGTAATGCCCTTCCCCAACTGTTAGGTCTGTTTGCTCCAACACCGGTCTTCTGAGAGTAATAAGACAATTTTACAAATTATTATTAAAATAATATATTTAAAAGTTAATTATTAAAATAGATAATTTTATAGTATTTAAATAATATTAAATAAAAATAAATGTTACGGAATATGACTTGTGTTTTATTCTTGTACCTGACTCAAATTGAAATGACATCAGGACATTATCATATTTTGGTGCTTTTAACGGGAGTTACGTTCTAGTATAATATTTCTTTTTTCGTTGTATATTAGACATTAACATCTGACATATTTTGTGCTGGTATAAAAATTTAAATCTTAATTTTTCTTTTATTTTAACTAAATTTTAAAGTTAAAATTCAAAATTTAGTTTTCTTTTACATTGATTTAAGTTACAAATTTAATTTTTTTATTACTTATTATTATTATTATTATTCAAATACAAAAATTCATTCATTGTAATAATGAATTTTCAAATAATATTATTTTAATAAATAAATAATTTATAAAACGGATAAAGAAATTAAGACAGGAATAGCGGACACGTAATAGATCTAAGTCTGATAAATGTGAAAGTGAGGGTCTCCACTATGCAGCCCACCCCCCAACACTTGAGTGGGTAAAGAATAGAGAAGGATGAAGGAGGTGTATTGGTCCATTATCCATTATAACCTATCGCTATTCGCTAATGGAAGTGGCTGTGGCACTTGCATTGCTCATTGCGCAGTAGAGTAAGAGTAAGCCAAAGCCAAAGCCAACACGTTGAATTGCATTAATATATATATATATATATATTGATAATCACTCATATATCCTCAAACTCCAATTTGCGTGCGGTCAGCACTCACAAACTCCAACTACCAGACAAATTTGGCAATTCCAGCATCTCCTCCTAACCTACGTACCCAGATACCCCAAATTCATTTAACATTACCAATCTCATTCCTTTTCTCTCTAACTCGCTTCTTTTATCTTTCATCTCTAGCCATGCCTTCTCTCATTCATTGTCCAGCAACTTCCCTCTCTGCAACACGAGGAGCAGACTCTATTGGATTCTTTGTCCCCAACACTGCTCGTTTCAACAAGACCCACAAGTGCCGGGTTCGTTGCTCTTTAGAGACTAATGTTTCCGACATGAGTGTCAATGGTTAGTAATCCGATTAGGACAAACTTGTCGAATTTGCCCTTAATTATGTGGATTTCAAATTCAATTTCAGATCAGTTTTGGATGTTATGCCTCTCTTCCAAGTATATTTTTTGTTTATTAATTTTCATTTTTGTGAATGTTACGAAGTTTAGATAATATTTATTAATTATTAAACTGTAAGTTTGACAAAGGAGATGGTTCGCATGGCAGCGCCGAAAGGGCTGTTTCCTCCGGAGCCGGAACATTATCGAGGACCCAAGCTAAAAGTTGCCATTGTTGGAGCTGGGCTTGCAGGCATGTCAACTGCAGTGGAACTCTTGGATCAAGGCCACGAGGTTTAGCACCTGTTTTTGATATTATAATGTTTTGAAATTGGATGTCATGGTATATACAGTAATTTTACTTTTCAAGTAAAGGGGAGCGATGTCTTGATTAGGTTTTTCTGATTCTGGTGTTGCATGCAATAGGGTGTTATGGCTATATATGAGTCAATAGGATGTCTTGATTAGGGGAGCGATGTATTGTATTTATTCTCTTTTCTTTGAAATTCTCTCATTCAGGTGGATATATATGAGTCAAGGTCTTTTATTGGTGGCAAAGTTGGTTCTTTTGTTGACAGACGTGGAAATCACATTGAAATGGGATTGCACGTTTTCTTTGGTTGCTACAACAATCTTTACCGCTTGATGAAAAAGGTAAGCATTTTTTACTTGCAGTCAAAAATCATAATGCTTTTTCTTCTTTGTCTGTAAAGCCTGTATTCTTCCTCCCTCTCTTTTATCATGAAACTGGTATGTTTTTCATTGTATCTATCCGTCTGATAACTTTTTCTTCTCCAATGCCTGGACTAGGTCGGTGCAGATAACAATCTACTTGTGAAGGATCACACTCACACTTTTGTAAACAAAGGGGGTCAAATTGGAGGTATGTTTTACGCTGTGATACCTTGCTTTTTATGATTCATTATTTTCTTTCTATTTTTCGTTTTCCACTAGAGCACCACATTTTATGAAAAGATAATAGTTTCGTAATACTTTGTTCATAACTTAGTTTTCTGGTTTTGCTTGATATTTTTATATTGCTTTGTTTATAACTTAATTTTCCAGTGCAGAACTAGATTTTCGCTTTCCAATTGGGGCACCAATACATGGGATAAGGGCATTTTTGTCCACAAATCAGCTTAAGGTAATCACATTGTATATTCTATTACCATGTCACTTTGTCATAAGTATTGTGCAGAACTAGAAAATTATATATTTGAATACCCAAAAAAAAGTATATTTGATCATTTCCCCAGTGGGACTATCATAGTACCTAACTTTATATGTTGTTTATGAACAGACTTATGATAAGGCTAGAAATGCTGTGGCTCTTGCACTGAGTCCAGTTGTCAAAGCTCTTGTTGATCCAGATGGTGCTTTGAGGGACATAAGGAATTTGGATAGTGTAAGAGGATGTGTCATTTTCAGTCTCTTTTAAAATAATGTTTCCTGATTGGTTGTCCCCTCGGTTTTAAAATATTTGTTTCCACCTATTCTTACAAATGCTCATGCTCATCCACACAGCACATACATGTTCATAATGTTCAAATTATGGGAGTTTAGGTATTAAGAGAGAGAATAGTGAATAAAAGAAAATGAATCCCTTATGATATTAACCGAGATGCTTTACAATGTGTTTATATGTTCATGAAGCTTGAATGACTAATCCTTATTTATACTAGTTGTAATTATTATCCTAACTAAATGAGGAAACAATTAATGGGATAAGATAAGGAAATATGGGAACCAATCTTAAGAGATAATGCGGAGACTGGGAAACTAACTGATAGGAGTAAGTGGAAAGGGTCTTTGTATGCAAAATAAAATAAAAATAGTGATACTTGCTGCCCTATATTCTAGGTTTACTGACTATGTTTGTCAATCTTCTGTCTTAATGTCAAATTCTGTTCTTTTAACCATTACATAGCATTTGTTACAGATCAGCTTTTCAGATTGGTTTTTGTCCAAAGGTGGCACACGGATGAGTATTCAGAAAATGTGGGATCCAGTTGCCTATGCCCTTGGGTTTATTGACTGTGATAATATTAGTGCCCGTTGTATGCTCACCATATTTGCCTTGTTTGCTACAAAGACTGAAGCTTCCCTTTTGCGAATGCTAAAGGGTTCACCAGACGTTTATTTGAGTAGTCCCATCCGGAAGTACATCACAGATAGAGGGGGCAGGTATAATTATAGATGTGAGAATATTGCTATTGTGATTATCCAAATTTCTTCTTATCTAGATTCTTGTTCATTGCTGGACCAGGTTCCATCTTAGGTGGGGATGCAGAGAAATACTTTATGATAAATCTGCTGATGGGAGCATTTATGTTGCAGGACTTTCCATGTCAAAGGTGATATATCTGTTATGTTGTTTGAAATCTTTGCATGCTTGGTTAGAATTCAAGTGACATTCCCAAAATCCTTATAATTAATACCTTATTAATGTTTATTTTCTCAGGCTACTGCCAAGAAAATTGTGAAAGCTGATGCTTATGTTGCCGGTTAGTAGTTTGCCCATCCTTGGTTTTTGTATTTATTCCTTATCGTGCCAAAAATATTCAGTGCCTTACTGTCATGTACTTGATGCCAGCTTGTGATGTCCCTGGTATTAAAAGATTAATTCCATCAGAGTGGAGGGAACAGGAGTTTTTCAATAACATATACGAACTAGTTGGAGTTCCTGTGGTCACAGTGCAACTCAGGTACAATGGTTGGGTTACAGAGTTGCAGGATCTAGAAAAGTCAAGGTAATTCATCAAATTTTATGGTTCTTATAGAAGCTATATAGCGAGAAGCTTTTGTTTTGAGAATCAAGAATGATATATTGCCCTTTGATCATTATTGTTCAACTTCTTCATGAACCCTTATTTTCTGGATGGCAGGCAGCTGAGGAAAGCTGTTGGGTTAGATAACCTTCTCTATACTCCCGATGCAGATTTTTCTTGCTTTGCAGACCTTGCACTTGCCTCTCCTGAAGACTATTACATTGAGGGACAAGGATCATTGCTCCAGTGAGTGAGTGTGTGTGTGTGTGTACATTCACACTTCTTAAATTTCACTTTTGTTCATGAGTTATTTACTGGAAAATAACTTGCACCGAGTATTTTGTGCTCAGCATACTGATATTTATATACATGAAAAATTAAAAATTATATTTGCAAGAATAATGAACAATTAGACTATTTTTTTTTAAGTTCCTAATGTTACAAATGCTTCGTTATTTCCTACTGTTTCCTAAGATGTAATAACTACTGTCATCGTTCCAATAGTTGATGTTTAAAATCATCAATGACTATGTATGTTATGGAATGTATGAAACTGCATTATCAATTCATCATACCACTTATATCTGTATTGGTAAATGCATCAGCTTTAAGGGTAAAAATTTGATAACCATCATGCATATAATACTTGTATTGACCTTCTAAGTATGTAAAGTTATTTCATCTGTCAGATGTGTTCTGACACCAGGAGATCCGTACATGCCCTTACCTAATGAGGAAATTATTGCAAGGGTAGCAAAACAGGTTTGTACCATTTCTCTTATTCACATGCTTTCAGTAACGGGAGTGTGTTGTGTATGTTGAGGTGTTTTGATATATTTCAGCATTCCATGTCATGAAGATATACTAATGGTGAATGCATGGCAATGATAATTTTTTTCACTGAAATATCTGTATGGGATCAGTTTATCAATCACAAAAGACTGTTTACTGGTTGGATTGATACTTGTTCATTCGGTGCATATTTGTTCATTCTGCCACCTGCCAGTTTGATGGCTTGGATTGTCAGATATCATCAGCATCGCATTTTTATTATTTCTATCACAAATCACATCACAAGTTTCATTTTGTAGTCTGTTTTGGATTTTCTATCAATGGTAAATATTCAGTTCTCTTGTCATTACATTGATTTAAAATTATTAGGTTTTGGCTCTGTTCCCGTCGTCTCAAGGTTTAGAAGTGACTTGGTCGTCCGTTGTTAAAATCGGCCAATCTCTGTACCGTGAGGGACCTGGTAAAGATCCATTTAGACCTGATCAAAAGACACCAGTGAAAAATTTCTTTCTTACTGGCTCTTACACAAAGCAGGTAATGGCTGTCTTGATTAGCATTATAATGCGTATAAGATGTAGCCCTTAAATTTTCACGTTATTAATATGTTTTGTAGCTGCAGTATATGTTATCATACAGAGGAGTAAATGTTACTAACAAACTCTTCAATACACTCGTTGCAATTGGTCCATTCTTTAAAAAGTTTAAATGCCTGCCTAGTAAATTTATCCCTTTTTAAAAATTACCTATACTTTTATAGAAAAACTGACAAATCACAATAATTGTATTAAGGAGTATACTGCTAGAACTTCTCATTCTTATATAGTAGGGTCCTGCCTCCTGGACTTCTAGTATGACTCATGAAAAGATTTTAGAAAGCAAAGTGGCTTTATGACACGAACAATAAGTTCCTGCCTGCTGCTGTATTTGATTGAATGGGATCATTTGTTGTGTGGTTTCAACATCTACTGTGAAATATCGAGTATTTGTGTATTTTCTTGTCACTTCCAGATTCGGTAAGTCACTCTTATTCAATTAAATTTTATAATTTTTTTTCAAAACTCTTAGTTTGATTAACAAAGAAAAAGAAGAATATTTTAGATAAAAATTATTTGAATAGTAGCAATAGACAGACACTCTACTTTCTCTCATAACGTAGTAAATGGTTTGTAGAAAATTGTATGAGGATAAAACAATATATTATGCGTGTTTTAATAGAAGAATATTATGTACTTTTACTATGCTTGTCCACGTATATGGGACATAACGTTTTCAAATTAACTGAATGAATTTATCTTTCCGTTTAGAGTTTGCTTACAACCTTTTTATTTATAGCTGCTGTTCACTTTTCTATCAATGCCGATATTTTTATGAGCACTTTTTCAATTTTGCTGTGTTTGTTCAGCAACTGCAGTATGTTTTCTCCATTTTCGCTGCAGTTTTGAAATCTAAGTCGCATTGATGTTGCTGATTTATATTGTATACTTGCACGGCTGATAGATTTAATTTGTTCAGGACTACATAGACAGCATGGAAGGTGCAACCTTGTCTGGCAGACAAGCTTCTGCCTATATCTGTGATGCAGGGGAAGGATTGGTGGCATTGCGGAAGGAACTTGATATTAACTTTGATGACGAATTTAAAAAAGCAAATACTAAAGATGAATTGAGCCTAGTATGAGAAATTTCCATACAAGGTAGGCATGTTGACAGGAAGCTAGTTTATTCTTTTTGCGTGTAACGTTTTAAATTGTATATTCAATCGAGAAGTAATTAGAGTATTGTTAGCTTCCCAGCAAGTGTTGCGTAGTTCTGAATCTCAGTGTCTATAGATTTTGGATTTATGTCCAGCCATTGACATCATGTTAACATGTGCTTTGCACACTGAATAAAAACGTAATAAATAAAAAGATTTTACAAGAAATCACGCTATTATGTAATGGAAATTAGTGATGGTATATTAATAACACTTCTTTTCACCTTTGATTCTTTCGCTAGTCAACATTTTTTATTCTCTTCGTAAGGAATTTCAGGTAGTAGGGATGCACAGTAGCTTGGGTTTGTTCTACCCATAAGCCTTATGGTAGATGAGTAAGGATGGAGACAGGCGAAATAGCTTCACAGGGCTATGACTTGACTTGGTTTAGACTGACTTATCCTAACTCTTTTAATAAATAAATAAAGTTTAAATTTTTTTTTAAGGTTAGTTTAAGTAAATAAATTAAATTTGAGCTGTTTATAAAGCTTATTAAACACATATTAGCTATATATATATATATATATATATATATATATATATATATATATATATATATATATATATATATATATATATATATATATATATATATATATAATATTATTTTTAAAAATAAAAATGATAAAATAAATTAAAGTCGTATGTTTTATTTCATTTAACTCTTTATATGGTCTCATTTTTTAAAGTCCTATAATTGGTGGATTAGTTTTTATCTTAAGTTGCAATATAAAGAAAATAGTAAGTTAAGGGTGGATTAGTCCATCTATTTCTAAAAATAATTAATAACTATTATATTATTTATTTATAATATTTATTAAATTAATTTAAAATTATATTTTAAATATAAAAATTAATTTTAAAAGTAAAAAATATTTATTTAATACATTAAATTTTATCATAAAAAATAATATTAAATACAATTATAATAAAAATATTATAAAATTAAATTAAATTAAATTTTTATATTTGGTTAATTTTTTAATTAAATTTGATATGGTACGTTAATAATTTATGGTTTTAATTAAGAATTAGTAATAAATATTTTTAAATAATAATAATTAAATAATAAAATAGTTTTATAAAATACTATTTAATAATTATTTTAGTAAATTTAATCAATTTTCGTATATTTTAATATTATTTAATCTTTTAATAATTACAGACTCATTTTATATCTAAATATGATATAGTTACAATATTCAAAGTAGGTAAATTCTATGGTACTCTTAAAAATTTTTAAGATACCCGCATATAAAAATTTTTAACTAATAATATTTAGACATGTATTTAAATAATAAATTTATTTAGTAATTAATTATTATATTTACTATATTTAAATAAATTGAAGAGTTGTTAAGTCTTTGAAAACACAATTAAAATTAAACAAACTAAAATTTAAAAATGAAATAATAATATTATATTAATATATTTTTTATATTTTTAATTTTAATATTATTAATATTTAATTATTTAATTATTATATTAATATATTATGTTATAATTTTTTTGTAATAAATAGAAATTATATTTTATTCAAAACTAAAAATATTTATACACCACTTTAAATTTAATAATAAATTGTTATATTTGTACACAATCAAAACTAAATAAATTAAAATTTAAAAATAAAATAATAATATTATATTAATATATTTTTATATTTTTAATAATAATAATAATAATAATAATAATAATAATTTAATTATTATATTAATATATTATGTTATAATTATTTTATATATAATAAATAAATATTGCTTAAATATAAATTATATTTTATTTAAAATTAAAAATTTATAAAAAATTTAATATACCAAAAAAAAAAAAAATATATATATATATATATATATATATAATAGGATCGTGTAACAAATAATATAATTTTAAATAAATCATATATAATTTTTTTAAGTTGCCACATGTTTCATTTTTATTAGTTTAAACTTTTTGAGTATAGTACCAATAAATTTTTTTTACAATATCCTTAAAAATTAGGTAAATTCTATAACACCCTTAAAAATTTTCAAGATATTGTACATAAAAAACTTTAACTAGTAATATTTAAAAACACGTTTAAATAATAAATTTATTTAATAATAAATTATTATATTTTGTTACATTTAAACAGGATTGAGAAGTAATCAAAACTAGACAAGTTAAAATTTAAAAATAAAATAATAATATTATATTAATATATATTTTTCATATTCTCAAATTTATTATTATTAATATTTAATTATTTTATTAATATATTATATTATAATTTTTTTATTTATAATAAATAGACATTATATTCTATTCAAAATTAAAAATATTTATACATGTGTTTAAATAATAAATTTATTTAATAATAAATTATTATGTTTATTACATTTAAACAAGTTAAAGAATGGTTAAGTATTTAAATAAGCAGAATGCAATCAAAACTAAACGAACTAAAATTTAAAAATAAAATAATAATATTTTTTAATATATTTTTTATATTCTTAATTTTATTATTATTAATATTTAATTATTTAATTAATATATTATGTTATAATTTTTTATTTATAATAAATAAAAATTTCTTAAATCTAAATTATATTTTGTTCAAAACTAAAAATTTATAAAAAAAATAACAGAAAAATAAAATAAGAAATTCAATAATAATAATAATAATAATAATAGAACTATATAGCAAATAATATAAATAACATAATTTTAAATAAGTTATATATAATAATATATATATTTTTTAACTTGTCATATGTTTCATTTTTATTTGTATAAAAATTCATATTTTTGAGTGCAAAGGCCTGTTTACAGCTTGTATTGGCTTGGGTTTAAGCCTGTTTGTTGACCTAAGCTTAATAACCTATTAAAAGATTTTTTTGCAGGGTATTTTTGAATTAGCACAAGACCATCTACACTACATAATGGGAGAAAAAGATTTCCTTAATGATGCAAAGTTTCAAAACCAACAAATTACAGCCAATAAACACACATGCACTATCCTTAGGGTTAGACTGACGTTAATTAAAAAAAAAGACAGAAAAGGTTTCCATGACATGCACATGTGCAACATAATCTGCATGAACATTATATCTGTTAAGATGTGAGAAACTGAGAAAGCATGTGACAAATTCTAAATGGGATTTTCTTTTAGTTTGGTGGCTGGCTGGATGAATTTTCCAAGGCATCTCAGCCTGTAGCCTTAAACAGCCCAGAGTAAGTTAAAAGAGCAAGGTTCTAATGTCATTTGATTAGTCACACTGCACTAAGAGGAGGAAACAAAATTTTGGGTATGATAAGTTACGTGAAACATCTACTTTGAGATTCAGAGTTTTGAAAGATTTACATGTGGCTGGACAGCAAAGCAAGTGTCATTTTCCTTTTGTTACATGCACGGTTAAGTGACAATACGAGGGGATATGTGGAAAGGTGCAAGTCAGTTACACGATGAAATAAACATGTATAAGTGTTTCAGGTTGCATCTAAATTTTTTAAGCGTACAAGTTTGAGGATTTATCATGCAGAATTGGGTGAAGTAAATTAGAAATTTAAGCGAGAATTAAGAGAGGAAGGGTGCAGATTCAGCATGAAAAAAGGGAAAAAAAAAAATAATTTGAAGGTTTCTGCTAAAAGATTTAATACCTTATTCACGATTCAACTTACACTCATAAAAATAAAATGAATAGACAACGATTCAACTAATAGAAGCAGCAAATGATTCAAGCCAAAATGTCACGTAATACAGCAGCATACTAGCAAACATCTTTCTCTAATTTGTATAGAATGAACATTATAAAATATGAGTTATAAATAGTACAGGATTATGCTTTTCTATTTTTTATTCCTTCTTATCCTTCTAAAACATTCTCTAGTTGTACATTCTATGTATATTCTAATCATTGGACACAGAAATATATGAGAAAGTTTTCATCTTTATTCTTTTCTTTGTTTATGTTTTGTCACAATCATAAGTAATAATAAAAATCAATCAAAGGAGAAAGGACAAAGGTAGAGAAAATAAAATAAAGGAAGGAGAAAAGAAAGATGAAAAAAAAATTCACTCACAAAAATTCTCTAATTTCATTTATAAGTCAGAAAAGTCACTAGTATGAATTTAGGGGTGTTACATAATACATCTTTTATGCCTACTATGAATCTAGGGGTGTTACATAAAAGTCACGGTGATATTTGTGCTTTTACGTTCAGAAATGACATATTTTGGATAAATAATACAATTCATTACAGGGAAACAAGTAATTACTATCAGGAGAAAGAAAAGCAATGCCTGGGTTAGATAGCAGAGAGAGTGAAACAGAGGGTGTGCATTGCTAGCATTCCTCTTATTTGATTTAATAACTTGCACAAAATTTATTATGTGGAGGGAGGTTTAACATAAAGCTATATATTTATGAATAACTAAATATAGAATCAAACATTAATTACAAAAAAATGACACTATGAGGAGTGTAGTAAATATACAGGAACTTATTTGATTTGTACATGAACAAATTTAGAATATGGGTGCATCTCCTTCCCTGCAAAATTAGTAAGAAACTAGTACATATACAAATATTAAACAATAATTTGCACATGTTTATAATAATGATAATAATACATTATTCAGAATATAATTGGTTGTTTCAAATCCATAGCTAGTAAGGAGAACCAAATTGAATCACTCATTCAAGAATCAAGAAAAGAAATCCAAGATGCTCAGATAAATAAATTGGAGAGAGCCGGAAGATGACAGAGAAATTGGTGTAAATAGTGAGTGGGAATCAGAATCCAAACAAATGGCAACAATAGCAAGAATCAGCTAGGCCAAAATCTTTGGGCAGCACTGATAGACAGAGAAATCTTGAAATAGCCATGTTAGGGAGTGTTGTCTAATTGGGGCATCCCACGTTAAGTCGTTCAATAAAATAGCATTATGTTATTTCTTTCAAAAATTTTACCCAAATCTTGCAGTTTTATTTCAGCACCACCTAAAAGATACTACAGTGTGATCCTTCTTTATTCATATTGACAAGGCAAAATTATACTAATTATTGTGCCATCAAGATTAATCCTCAAGTTTCAGCTAATCATATGAAAAGAACTTAGATATGAACATGAACAATCTCATAATTCCTGAAAGTTATCCCCGATAATTTTGTTGATTTTTGATAGAGAACCAACAACGGACATTCCAACCGGTGCATCTGAGCAAGAGTGTCACAGTGAAATAAGTTTGGCAT